ACTCGACAAAGGGGGTATTAATCGGGATCCCTTTCGCATGCTTGACAGACTCTCTATGCTCTCTATCCAGTGGACTAAGGGTGGCTTGGGAAGGAAAAGGCAAATTCAGCTCATAAACCGAACTGTCTGCAGAATTTTTCTGTTCATGACAGGCCCACATCGTGAACATATAAGGTTCACGTCGTGATCTCTGGAACTCAGCAGCTTCATGATTTTCGATCTTGATCTTCTTTTTCTTTCGATCGGGCATTTGTGGTTCTTCGTCCAATGCTTCTTGGAACTTCGAGATAGCTTCTTCTTCGGTGTCTATGGCCATTACATGAGATTGGTTCTGTACTTCGGGACTCTTCGGGGACAATTTTTCATGAACTAGAGTTGCTAGTTGACCAAATTGTACTTCAAGGTTATGGATGGAGGCTTGCTGATTCTTTATCAAAGTTTGTTGTTCCAGAATAGCAGAATCCGTGGCCTCGTGTCGCTTTTCCGATGCTTCCATAAATTTCATTAAAATGGTCTCTAGGTCGGGTTTCTTCTCGGCTGGTTGCTGCTCCTTTTGATAGAGGCCTCGACCTGTTTGCCTATACTTCTCGTCTTTTTGCTTGTTATATTCTTCATATGGCAGCCACTCCTTCATCGGTTTCCTCCAGTCCTCTTCAAATTTATCCCCATTAGAGTAGCACACTTGAGCTTTTCTGTTCCCAAATTCATCCACGTTGCAGTCCTTGGTCAAGTGTGGACCATTGCATCGCTCGCACCCCACTCTTATGGCGTGTATCGACTGGTCCATTTGTGTTATCCTGCGATACATGTTATTCAGCATGGCCATGACAGCTGCAATTTCTTTAGTTTGGGCTCCTCCACCGCCTTTGCTTCCATCCTGCCTCGGGTTATGGTATTCGCGGGAGTGTTTCGCGAATTCTTCAATTAGCTCCTTGACCTCCCTTGGATTTTTCCTTGTCAACGGTCCTTGAGAATCAAGGAGTTGTCTTGTCATCACATTGACCCCATCATAAAAGATTGACATTTCTTGCTGCACATTTAGGTCATGTTGCGGGCAGTTTCTGAGTAAGCCCTTGTACTGCTCCCATGCTTCGGACAGTGACTCCCCCGGCTGTTGCTCAAAGTTGGATATTGCCTTCTTGAGTTTGGCTATCTTGGATGGTGGGCAAAGCTGGTCTAGGAATTTCTCACGCATTTGAGCCCAAGTGGTGATTGTACCCGGTGGGAGTACTTTTAACCACTCCTTAGCAGCTCCTTTGAAAGTGACGGGCAGCATCCTAAGCAAGACTGTGTTCCTGTTGACATTTGGGACATTGAAGTAATCTGCAATGTCATTGACTTCATCTAGATGCTTAAAAGCATCGTCATGGTCTTTCCCGAAAAATGGGATGTCCTTCAGCGCAGTCAATATGTGTCCCTTCAGCTCGAATGTGGCATTGGCAGGTATTGCGGGTTGGACTAATCCGGGACCCACATCTTCTTGGATCCGCTTTTTGTAAGCTCCCATGGACATTTCTTCAATATCTGCCATCTCGTTCCTTGGCTCGTTCTCGGGTTCACTCGTGTGTTCTTCAAATTCTGGCTCGGTGTCGCTTTTGTACTCGGTTTGCACGGGTGTATGATCCAAATGCTCAAGATTGCTCTCGTGCTTCGTTGATGAACTTGACTCTCCTGTCTTCTTTCCCGCCTTCCTAGAGAAGGCTGACTTCAATTCTTCCAAGGGCGTCTTTTTCTTGTGAATTGCAGACTCGGGATCTTCTAGTGGTGGCACCAATGGTGTGTTTGAGCCTCTGGTCATTAACTCCTGCAACATGCTAAACTAAAACGTAAAACTGGACTAAAATAAGAAAAACTAAAAATGAACTCTCAGATTTCACGTCGTGAGTATACTGAATCTCACGTCGTGAACTCTGTGACAAACAGAACAAAAATTAAACTAAGATAAGCTAGCAAAATAAATAACCAATTAAGCTTTCTGCAGATTTTATTCCTAAAAAAAAGATTAATCTAATGCAACTAAATAAACTAATAATCTGCACCGTTCCCCGGAAACGGCGCCAAAAACTTGATGTGCACAAAAGTACCCACTAATTTTAATATTTATAACCTAACAAACTAAGACTAACTATGCACTTATAGGCAGTGTACCTAGTCAGATTACAGTATAGCTTAGGTAAGTCGGGTGTCGATCACAGGGAACGGTGTTACTAATTAATCTACTTACTATTAAATTAACCTAATTTATTAACAAATTTAATAAAGGGTTTTATCTGATTTTGCAAGATCAGATGAACTTAATCAAATTAAATAAAAACACACTCTTGCTTAGTTGAATCCACTTCTTCCTTATGGCTAGCTAATGATTATGTGTTATTAAGTTGGGTTTTAATTATATTAGTAGTTTAGTTCTATCTTACCAATAAGTAACTAATTCATGTTAAACCATGTATGTTCACACATAATTAAACACAGAACTAATTATGAATGTAGATATGCTATGTAAGATTTGTTGTATAAACGCAATTATGATCACAATTCACGTTCTCTAGCACAGCTAAGATTTATTCAGTCTAATTACTAACTAAGATTGGTCAATCCTAGCTCTAACAATTTAATGTTCACTAAATTATCAGGTAAACAAGTTCATGCAGTTTCATGGTCACTAAGCTACACAGAACATGCGATCTAGCAATTAGATAAACAAATAATAACATGCTAGGTTATACAAATCAAACACAAACAATTCTTACCAACTCAAATTAATCCATAAACATATAACTATTCATAAGTTCAAAGCTTCATCTACTTAAGCAAAAGTAGCTAGATTTAGCTGCTCATCATAGTAATTAAACTAACACAGCTAAAACTAATGAAAAACATGTTTATAATCAACTAAATATAAAACTTTACTTCTTTTGGTGTTGAAATCTCTCTTCCAGGACCTTTCTTCTCTTCTGAAACGTCTCCTCCAACTCCTTTTCCTCTGCCAAAAGTCCTTTTATTCGTAATAGTCAAGGATCTTTATAATTGCTATTATCCATACATTCACGTCGTGAATAATAATAAATTCACGACGTGAGTAGTAGATAACCGTGCCCGCCAATGATTTCTTCACCCGCGTACATATCTTCTAGAACCATTAATTCACGTCGTGAGCTCTTTAATTCTCACGTCGTGAATAACCCCTTTATCCAGATTTGCTTCGCTTTTACTCTTCTAATTCCCAAGTTTCTTTCTTTAACGTTTCCAGTCCTCTTTTCTTCAAAATGTCTTCTTTTTTTTTTTTGCTGTAAACAACATTTAAGCTCATAAGTACCATTATTCTAAACAAATTACCAACTTTTCAATAAAAATGTACTTAAATATTGCCTAAAAATAAGTATAAATATGGCAATATCACCGGTCATGTTAGTAGTGAATGAGGTATTTACCTCTTTGGTTAGTGATGGACAGATTGAGGAAGGGTTGGGTTGTTTACTTAGTAGTGAACGGGTTTTTTGTCTTCAAGTTAGTGATGGACTTGTGTCTGGGGTGTCTACCTTATGGGTTAGTGATGGGTCCATGGGTGGGGAGTCTATCTTTCGGGTTAGTGATGGACCCGATGCTAGGTTAGGAATAATTAATATTTATCTAATATTAAGAGATAAATAATAATAGTAGACCCTAATGATACTCTAGTGATGAACATGTGATGTATGTGATGTATATAATGTGTGTAATGTATGTGATGTGTGTGAAGTATGTGTGCTATGTGATGCATGTGATGTATCTAATGATATGCTATGTGTGTTTTCATAACATAGCACTTATGGTTTACTCAATTAGCATTTGCTGACACTTGTATCTTTGCTTGTGGTTGTTTTGCCTTGCATTGGTACAAGTAGCATGATATGATGGCCTGGTGAGGATTGGGGGTTGTTATATAGTTTTATTCCAGTTATACCATAGTACTGATACCATTTGGACATGTCGTTGAGTTTTCGTAACACTTCTTTTTGAGAACTTGTTTTGGATTGGTTTGTGAACATTAATTTTGATAAATATTGTTTATGGTAATAAAAGTACCATTGGTGATGTTTTCAAGTAATTCAAAACAAAAATTAATTCATTCTGTTAAACAAATGTTTTAAACCCCGCTGTTGTCGGTATGCTGGAGTGTTAGAGTGAAAATGAGAAATATGTAGCCGAGGTTGAATCTCAAGATCTCTGTTTTTTAGGAATTGCAAGTGAACCGTCCCATATATATATATATATATATATATATATATATATATATATATATATATATATATATATATATATATATATATATACACACACACACACACACACACACACATACACATAGAAATAGATAGATAGATAGATAGAGAGAGAGAGAGAGAGAGATGGGTTCAACATATAACTAAATAACATGACCTAACCACATAATCACTTTCCTAACCATTATATTAGATTGATGTCGAAAGGATAGAATGGTAAAAACGTATATGTTCATATTTATAGTAAATTTTATATAGAGGAAATTCATTTCAATAAAAACACGTGTTCCTAACAACGTTAAATTTCTAGTAAAATCATATTCACGTGAAAATAAGCATATGTTCATATATTAACATATTTTCATAAATGAGCATATGTTTGTAAATTAACATAACGTCAATTTTACATAGCATATACATAAAACATGAAAACATAATATATTCATAAATAAACATATGTTCATATAAGGAAAGAGATATATAAATATATTTTTATAAATGAACATATGTTCATAAATGAGCAAATGTTCAACAATAAAACTATTTCCTTTTTGAGGTTGCATTTCTAGCTTAAAATGTGTGCCATTTGCTGCATAGCTGATCCACCTTGTGATTTCCTTAGAGGCGATATATAATCAAAAGAGTTGAATATGCTCATATATGAAAATATGCTCATAAATTAACATATGTTCATGTATGAACGTATCTTCGTATATGAACATATATTCATACTGATAATCAATTGCTCATTATCTCAACATTCTGAAGCTCATAATCATCCAAGTTGTTCCTAGAACACACGAGAACTCCTACAAAAAGTCAAAAAAAATTCACATCTTTCAATAATTTTAGTCAAAAAAGTAAAGCAAAGTTGCCATATGATTTCAGTACTTCCTGTGTTCTTCCAAGATTTTGGCTGCTAGACAGTTGAATCCAATAGAGTGTGATTAGGATCACCTTTCATGTAAACCATGATAGGGTTGTTCTTCACATCCTACAAACCAGGTTCATGTTGTTCAACAACTTAATTAAATGAGAACTGAGTCACCTGTAACATATTACCTGTTTAATGATGTATTTCAAAGGGACTCGTGTATTCTCAACCTTATTATTTAGCTTACAATCATCATGTTTATCCACTGGGCGCATCTGTTGAGAATCCCATTCCATAATGATACAATGATCCAGAAGCCTGAAACTTGAAATTTGAAGAAATACAAGGAAAAGCCATCTTGTGAAGGTAAAATAGAGTTGGAAGGAGATATTCATCTTCTCCTATTGTAAGCTATGTTACAATATTGAAACATAGAAATAGAAATCATATAATATATGATGGAACATAGAAATAGAAAGCACAACCTAAAATTCAATATTTTCCAACATCACCTAATAAAATCCTTGAAAATCCTATATGTCTTACTTTTGAGTTGAATCCTTTTAAATTGTTAATATAATAACATGTTGTATATGTAAGCTTATAAACAATGGATATTTTAACAATAGAATTAATTGAAGTCATTGAACAAGGAGAACTAGTAGTATACATTAGGTGTGGTTGATGATAGTAAATTCATGCGGAAATAAGCATGCTTCTATGCCCATTAATAATACACGCTCTATGATCATAGCTAACATTGAACCGATTAAAATACTCATCGGCGACTATACCAAAGAGCATATGAGATAACTCCTTTGACATCTTAGAAAGAAAATTGGTGATGACTCTACAAATATTAAAAAAAAATCAAAACTCTTTTATGTTGGATTAAGGCATCTAAGCTTATAACTAAATTTGTATATTCTTGTAATTAGAAGAAAAGTCCTTTTCGATTTGCTATCATAACTAGAACTTCGTTAGAATGACAATCGTAGAGAGTGGATAAATTTATTATTTTATTATATAATTAATAAATTATAATAATTGATTTATTAATATATTATATGATTAATATATTAATTGGAAATAGATAGTTGATTTGTTGATTATGTGATTAATAAATTAATATGAGATTAATTGTTAAATAATTGATTTGTTTGTTTATAAGATTAATAAATTTGTGTAAAATCAAATTGTAACATCTAATCCTTGTATTATTTACATTTTGGTCCATTATATATTGAATTACTGCTTTCAGACCTTGTAGTTAGTAAATTTGGAGGAAGGAGGGACCATTTATGCCAATTCAAGATTTTGGAGGCGCAGCCCGAACATGGGGCGTTCTCCTGAGGAATGCCCTGCATTCCCGAGGTGAATGCAAACCCTAATTTTTAGGGTTTGGGACCTATATAATGAAAATTATGTCCTATACCTCAGCGTCCTTAACAACCTCTCAACCTCAGAAAAACCCTAGAAAGCCTAACAATCCGTCCTTGTCTGATTTTGATCTTATGAAGCTCATCTTGGCAGTTTTATGTTTGGATGGAGAAAAAAGAAGTTAGTGCATAAGAACTTGAATATCTTGAGCTCAAGGATCCAGGATAGCATCATCATTTTCACTCATTTGAGGTAAAAAGCTTTTAACTTGCCTCATGAATGCTTAGATATATGCTAATGAAGTTTTGGACCTTTTTAGGTACCAAGAATGGATTTTTATGAGTCCAATCCATTTTTGGACTTAGGGTTGCCACCCTTGATGCTATTAGAAAAGTTTCCATCTTTAAGGTCCTAATGGGTTGATGCAAGACTTAAGGCCATCTTTATGTAAGTTGATTGTTATTTATTGGGATTGGGACTCTTGGGGACACTCAAAGTCACCAAGTCTGTGACTTTATAATTCTAGATGTCCTAGATAGCTTAGATCTATGACTGGTGGGAGGAGGTTGGGCATGCTATTGTTGATGCTGCCCTTGACACTATGACCTGGAGTGACTTCTTGGCCAGGTTCAAGGCCAAGTTTGCACCTTTGATTGAGGTGAAAAAGCTTGCTAGGGAGTTCCAGGATCTTTAACAGACGACTGAGACAGTGACTGTGATTACCACCATATATATTGTCACAACCTCAAAACGGAATGGCGGAAACATCCAGGGGCGGATGACTTCATCTTGTAATATCATCACAATGTATATAATTAAATCATAGACAACATTATCACCATATATAAAATATACAAACTGTCATAGTTTTACATCATTGTATTTGTTTATAACAATATATCCAAAACATCTAGTATGGTGAGAAACAAAAATAGAACAAAAATCTTCATTCCTTATCGACCAACCTGTTTTAACGTGTTCGTGAGAATAGAAGTCATTTTGAAAAGCATCAATATATAAAAATGTTGGTGAGTTCATAAGCAAGTTTGAATGAAAAGTTATTGTAGTAGTTTGTAAACACCAGGAAATCCTATATTTTATGTAAAATTGGTTTGTGAGTTTTGTTTCAAATCTAGTATTAGAGCATGTGTGATCTTGTTTGATAATGTATAAAGATAGTTTCCCAGAAATCCTATATTTTCTATATAATGAAAAGTGTGATCTTAACCCTAAGACCTGAGAGGTGAAAGTTTAAACGTAAATAGTAACTGTATAGTTCGTACTTTGTATCATAAGAATAGTATGTGTATTCCATAATTTTTTTTATTCTCTTTGTGAGTCGCTATAACCATACTTGATATGAACGATATGCCAGTCATGATGATCTTCAGGCATCGGTTACGGTAAGACATTTGTCTCCCTAGACTGGCCTATGTAGTTGTAGCGAGCAGCTCAGGTGTGGAGTGTCATCCCCGTATAGATCTATACACAAATTCTCGCTCTCTCTCCAGGAGACTCTGGTTATCACTACAGGACTTACTATGTACACTAGGTAGGTACGAGTGAAGGAGTGGCTCACAAGATCTTTAACTAAATTTACGTGAATAGAGCATCCGATTATTTAACGCTATAAATAATGTTTCGAGTGTGTACTTTGACTACAACCATTGACGATAAAAATATAATTGTTTTTATCGAAAGTGTCAAAATATTTGATGTTATCGTGGAAAAATTTTCATTATCCCAAAGTATCGTGAAAATTTCAAGTGTATTAGAATTTTCACTAACGGTCCGATTAACATAGAATGTGTCATAAAAGTCCCAGTTTGAATAAAATTGACATATTTGGCCCAATAAGAATGTAAATGGGCATATAAGGCCCAATTAGAGCAGGATTACCATACATGGCCCAATTAAAATGGATTTGACACATAAGGCCCGATTGATATAAAGTTGTGTTATATGACGCCCAATTTGATAAAAATGTAGTAAAGAGTCTGTTTGTTATAAAAACTAATTGTTTTAGCTCATATAGTACCAAAAATGATATAAAAGGCCCACTTTTACTAAAAATGACCATTTTGGCCCAACAAAACCGAAATTTACAATAAAGGCCCACTTTTGTTAAAATTGATATTTTAGGCCCAATAAAATCGTGTTTCGTCAAATAAAGCCCATTTTTATGAAAGATGACACTTTTGGCCCCTAAAACTATGAGTTGTCAAGTAAGGCCCACTTTTATCAAAATTTACACTTTAGGCCCACTAAACCATGGGTTGTGAAATAAGGCCCATTTTATGGAAAAATAACACTTTAGGCCCAAAATAACCGTGAGTTGTCAATTTAGGCCTACTAAAACCAAAAATGACACTAAAATCCCATTTTGTTTATCTTTATTGTCAAGTGTGGTCCTTTTGTATAGTTTCTTTAGTTTTCTAGTAACTTCTAACATGTTTAATCTTTCCAACTATCATAAAGAGTTACTTCAAGTAGATTGCTTACTAATATCACCAAATCTTGGAAGATATTTCGAATTTGTGAGTGTTTATCATATATTCATGGAATATTCACACGGCATAACATAAAAACATATACACATGCAAGAATAATACTAAGATTAACCACAAATCTAGCTTGTATTCTCCCCCATAAAGGTAGTAAAACTCGAAAAAGGGGGGTATGAAGCTCACCTTGAGTTTTGATTGGTTGTGATGAAGAAATGAAGGAGAATGAAGGTGTTTTCGGCCTTAACTAGCTTCTTGAAGAGGTTTTCAGTGTTGAGGGGCTCTGGGGAAGCAAATACACGAATTAAAGTGGTTTGAGGAACATTTCTAGCATAAGATTAAATGAAAACAACTTTAGTGTGAGGTGACTTACCATGTTATGATCTTTTTTGAAGAATCCCTTGAAAGCACACACAAAAAATCATGATTTTTTGGAGGTAAGGGTGAAATGAGTGGTAAGATTGAATCTTGAAAAGAAAATGGTGGTGATGGTGAGAGGGTTTGGCCGAAGATAAGGAGGAGAGGAGAGATAAAGTGAGTTTTGAATGGAGGTTATTAGTTTGGTGCATGGAAGTATGGTAACTAATTACATTGTTATTTGGTGGATATTATTAAGGTGGCATCAAAATTACCCTCATCCATTTTTTTGTATAAATCGAGAGTAAGAGAGGGGAGGAAAAATAGATTTTTAGGCTTGGGTTTGGGTTGTGACCGAGAACCTCTACGCCTAATAGGGTTTTTGGTGTTACAGGACCAAACAATATAGGTCTCTGCCTATTAAATGATTTGTGGAGGGTATTGGCCCAATAAGGCCGATTAAGAGTGTCTTAGCCCTAATATAATGCCAAATGGAATATTGGGCCCACTATGCCCTAAGAAAGGTATTGAAAGCCCAATAAGGCCCACTTAGGGTCTTATGGCCCAAAATATTATTGCTTAATGAATTTCGGTCTAATAAGAGAGTCCTAGTCCATTAAGAGGTTTAAACCGGGTAGTTAGGGTTAAAACCCAAAGTTGAGTGAATACAACGTATTAAATTAGTTTTAGAGCTTTCACGAGAAATTTTCGACTTGAATTGTCAATCTATGAATGAATAAACTTCTATACTGATGAAATTTGGCTTATATCAAAAGTAGGGTTACAAGATTACACAAGAAGTTGTTTACACACGGACAAAATTTCTTAGCCCTAAACTGCTAGTTGTGACATTCAGGGAGAGAGCCCGTGTTGTTTTGCAGTACGTGGCAGACGAGGAGATGAAAAAGGCCCGATACCACGTGATGCTGCATAGTGATATCCACTAGTTTGTGAGCCGATCCAGCTGCAAGATGCTGGAAGATATGATTGGGAGGGATTGAGAGAGAGAGAGAGAGAGAGAGAGAAAGAGAAAGAGAAGGAGGAAGATTGAGAGATAGATAGATAGATAGATAGATAGAGAGATAGATTTGGAGATGTAAATAAAGAGGAAACTAGAAGGGGGGTTTAGCTAGGGAGTGCAGGAAAAAAGCCGA